ATAAAGCACTCATTTTCAGTTCATTCAGTAATCGTTTAAATCTCTCACATATACGTTTTTATTTCATGTACACTTCAAACTTCAAATGATTTTCAGAAAACAACTTAAACTAGAACCTTTAAAGCAAGATGGCAGTAAAAAATTAGTAAGCAGAAGCATGTGTGGGATTAAAAAGATTTTCAGATAAACTGAAATGTAATGCTGAAAAATATGTCATAAAAATGTCGGGAACATTATGACTGCGGCAATCTACAGAATCTGATTTTTGTTGTGTTTTTCTTAATATTTTTAATTAAAAAAGTATTTTATAAATGACAATTTTAGGTAAAAGTCAAAATAGATACGGGTATATATACGTTTCTAAAATACTTTTGATAATATTGAAGCTTTTATAGCAATTTTGACATTACTTTTGGATCAACCCTCATATAAATACATTTCATTTGATTAATAAATGCCAGGGTTGAAATTTAATCAAACGGAAGAGAAATGTGGAAAATCTGAATCAAAAAGTTAACGAAAAAGTTGCTAATTATTTTAAAAGTGCATTTTATTTGATTACAGAGCATGAGAATCGTACATGAGAATCATAAAGCTCATTCTTTTGTAGGAAAAGGTAGGATTAGTCATGTTTGAAAATAGGAGAAAGTGTGGGAATGTTAGCCACAAGAAAAAAAAAACTGCAGAGTTTGAATCATTGAAATTGAAACTTTCAGCTTTGCCGTAATCCTGAAATGTTTTCTCCTTGGTGGGCAATTCAATTTTATCATTTATTGTGTTAGGTCCAATGGGTGACAATATTCTCTTGGCAGACATACTTAAAAATCAATTCTCAAGTAGAGCAAATGTTGTTGGAGGGATTTCTAAGATCTGTTAAGTTAATCTTCTCAGCTTTTTGGGGAATATGTTAGAAAATTGTTCTCACTTTAGTCATAAATCTTGTGTGAAAGAGGAAAAAAAAATTAATTATTAAAATTGTACATTATCAACCATCTATTGTATGTGTAATATGTGTATACATGATTGCTGTATAAGCAGATTGTTAATTACTTACGGCTTGCGAGTATTAATTTTGTTGTAATATTGACATGCATGGCATGACTTTGTCAGTTTACGGGGAGATTAGATGGTATGTTTGCATGTATGGTGAGGCTTATGTCTTGTTGATGGGGAGTCAAGGTATCAAGTCAAAGTCATACGGTGTGTATAGATGACACCTTAGTGTCAATTCTCATAAGATACACCTGAAACCAAAAAAAAGGAATATATCTGAATCAAATGCTCCATACAGTATGTAAAATTGACTAAGATTGACAATATTTATGTGAGGACTATTTAAAAGAGTACAAATTGTATGCAATAAAACACTTTAATTAAAAAAGGTGGGCCTTCAGAAATAACGATACATACAATAAAACACGTTTAACTGGTGATTAATTCTTGCTTCAAATACAGAAGTACATGTATTTTCCACTGTACATGTATTTTTCATTCCACATAGTTTTAAAAAAGTATTTTGAACAAAACAAATATACCAAATTACATTTAAAACAAATTAAAATTGCCTGCTCCTGGAAATTTGCCACAAGCTTGTTTTACTGTAATCAGACAATTACAAGAAATATGTTGCATTCCTCAAAACAAACATTTTATTCTATAAGTATTATAGAAGTAATTTAACTATCTCTCTGGACTAAGATTGACAATATTTATGTGAGGACTATTTAAGTGTATATCTTTGCCTATTCCATTGCTCAGTCTTCTGAAATAAATGTCCTTTCTTTCATTTCCGGTCTAAGAAAGGCCCTGTCAGTCGAGGCGCTGCCGATGGAGGCGTTGTCAATAGTGGTAGGACTTGATGACTGCGTCTTCAGCAAACAGGGAAATTTTTATTAGATTTCTTTACAGTAGATTGTAAGCCTCATTTTCTGGGTTTTTGTTTTCTCTGAAAAAATGTCCAGTAAAATAAAGAGATGGTTTTAAGGGCTTACAGCTCTCTGGAAGCTATTTCATAAAGTGAAAATGGACATGCAAAGGACATTTCCATGGTCTTCTACAAATATGGCCTGTCAGAAAACTTAAATTTGCTCCTGTCTCTCTCACCATGTATAATAGGTTCCAGTTAAAGCTAACATTTTAGACATTTTGGACTTTTACTGCATGATTTCTTATGAAATGCTGTTTTAAAATATGATGATAAGATTTTTATCAGGTTTATGCTTTTCTCTTTTTTTTTTCATGTTGTCTGACTATAATCATGATAACATTTATTCTTTATAAGTGGATGATAATGATGTCATGATTATATCTCATTGACAAATAGGATTTCCCATAGCTTTATTGACTTCATTCAGTGTGATATCCTAAAAATAAAATGTTGTCATGATTTGATGCCATTGACAAAACTGCTTTTTTTTCATTCAATGTGACCATCAAAAAGTATCATTTTGATACATTAAAAATGTTTCTTTTTAACATACCATTGTCCAAAACATCATAGATAAAATGTTAACATACTCACAAAACATAAACAGATAAACATATTCATCATTACAGAAATCTAATGAGCTTTTGAATGTTAATGGGTGTAAAGGAACATAAGGCAATGAACTATTTATCTTGAACAAATTGTTTTGTGTTTTTGTGTTTGTGGCTATTTCATGCAAGTGAAAGCGCATATTTAACAAGCCATTAGGTACACAGGTGCAACGATCTATTATCCTCCCAGCATTTCTGGAAGGTCACCCCTTCTCAGAACTGTAGGTTGTATAATACTGTGTGACGGGAGATGTAGAAGGATTTCAACAAGCCCCATTATCTTCTATAGCCTCCCCGTGATGGATCCTCCATTCACATGCTATACTTTTTTATTCTTTTCTCTGCCACCTTCGACCTCCAACAGAACTAGGCATCTCAGCCTTCCCAAAACCACCACACTGTCTTCATGGTGCTAATGTTTGAAGAGGAAGCATGGTGTTCACAAGGTTTATGATTATGTTTTAAAAAAAATCTCTTTCATGACTGGTGTCAGGTGTCTTAATGGATATTGATATGTGTCTGTGAATGACCTTTTTGCACTAGATGGAATGCATCCTTCAGATAAATTATGTGTCTTCATATCTGATGGTTCTTTGATTTATTCTGATAAAAAGAAGAGAGAAGTTATTTATAAATGTGATTTATATGTGGTCTGGATTCTTAAAAGTCAAATTAAAAAGAAAATCCTCTGTAAAAAAGAAGTGTTTGAATGTTCTGAATGTTCTGGGTTGGGTAAATGGGTGATGCTCATCTGTATAGTGAATGAGTTGTACTTGAGTTTAATAATTTCTAATGTATTAGCAGATTTCCTAGCAGCATTAGGAATGACTATAATCTGCTAACTCTGCTACAGCATTTAAAGGTAGATAAAAGTATTCCATCAGGGTAGTAAACCATTTTATTGATATCTAGAATATTTGCTCTCTAAACTGCAGTGAACTGTGTATAATTAGGAATCATATGAAGTAAAATGTGAAGGAAAGGCTCTGCAATTGAGATCCTTGACCTGGCAATTAACTGCAAATACACAGATTCCCTGAAAATCTTTTCTGCTGTGTCAATTTCTTTGTAGAACATTATAAGACTGGCATAATGGTCCATCAACTCGATTCACATCAGGACTGGAATGGGAATCCCAAACTGTTTGTTTTTATTACTAATTGTTTTTACATTCCCTCCAATGAGAGAGTCTTTACAGAAAAGAACTAAATAACAGAAATTTGAGGAAAGAAAATTCCTTGTATCATCATTATCCCAGCTATCAATAGACCAGTGGGGTTCATTAGATTTTCCAGTCGGGATTTCACGGATAAAATTGATCCCATTTATTCTAGCCATGTACAGGTCTTCTCATCCCAGCATCAGATTCTTTTATCTTGCACAACTACAAATTTTCGGGAAGGTTTTTTTGATTTTTAATATCAATCCCCCTATTTACAAACATTTCAGGAGGCAAAACATTCCTCCAAATTTTCCAGGTGCCTTGTTTATTGGCTACCCCCTGTTTTTTGGCTCCAGCTGTTTTCAATAGCAAATAAATAGAGGGTGATGATAGGGATTTGCCTCTAGCATCAGAGAAGTTTGGCTTCCAGTGTAAAAGAGCTGTGGTTGTAAATTATATCCTGTTTTGCTTCTGGAGCCTGATCTGTTAAGTTGTAATGACCTTCATTAGAGCACTGCATTTTACATCATCATGCATACTCCCTGGACCAATGATTGTTTTGACAACTGACGGTCTCCAGTTTACACAGATTCTAATGATCAGTAGGTTGTAAACAAGGGTAAAAGAAGGGGTTTGTTTATTGTTGCATGTGGCTTTATACATAAACTTAATACAAAGAAGTATGCTAGGGGGAAAAGAGACACACTGCTTATGTTAGATTAATGAATCAGCTGTTGGTTGATACAATATTGTAAATGAATATAGTAATATAATGGGATATTATTAGGGGGAAAGACAAAATTCTGATGTAAGTTTTGAAGTTTGTCTACTAATTAAATTGAAATTAAGGGCATGGTCAGATCAACATCATCATGTATATGATTAATCTTGAGAAAATCTATATGCTTTGATGCATGATATTATTTTGCATTGACAATTCGATCAGTACAAAAGTAAGTTCACTTTTGAAAGATGAAGGACAATTTGCTCTTAAAACAGAATATTCTGCATAACTATGACAAATCTCTTAAGTAAAATGAAAAAGACCCCCCCCCCCTCAAGATTGATTATTGCACTAGAAGTACAATTTCCTCATAGATGGAGCATTTCATTGAGTATTGCAATGTCATAAGGATTCCTCTTAAAAAGAATCATTTCACTAGGAGTTACAATGTTGTATTGTAACATGAGGTCCCTTTTAAGGTCATTCATCAGGGTTTCATTATTAAGCACGCAATCTTTCACAAGATTTTGCTTGTAATATCTTTGGCTTTTATAATTACAAGGTAATTTTTTACAGAGAAAATACAACGACAGTATGGGGATCTGAATGGGGAACTCCATCTGGTGGATTTGAACCGCGGCAATGGCAGCCTGGGAATCAATTTAGCGGGCAACAAGGACCGCAACACCATGAGTGTGTTTGTTGCAGGGGTGCAACCTGAGAGTGTTGCTGGTAAAGATGGCAGGATTCAAGTTGGGGATGAACTGCTTGAAGTAAGATATTTAACTATAGTGAAGAGCAGTGGAGAAAGTGATTTATTTACAGCTATAAAGATTCAGCAGTTTAAATTCTTCTGAATTCATTATGCCTTGGGTTAGCGTTTAATGGATGGTAAATGATGTTTCTTTTTTTCTTGACATTTTATTTTACCTATATGAATTTAGTCTTTTAACCTCTCCACCAACAAATTTGTCTACATAGTTTTTATCTTGAAATAGTTTAAAGAGCTGACAAACAAATTGGTTTCTTGTAATAAAACTGAAATTAAGTGATTTTTACTTTATTTTTTAACAGGTAAATGGTCAAGTTCTATATGGCCGCAGTCATCTTAATGCCTCTGCCATTATTAAAAGCATATCCACAAACATTATCAAATTCGTCTTACTCAGGTATGTATATTTAACAAAGGCAAAACTCTCTTACAAGTAATTTTGGTCAAAATGAGTATATATATCAGAAAAAAGTTTTCAATTAAATTGATTTTAATGTTAAATCGTTATATAATGTTAATTTAATAAAAAGTATTATAAATAAAATCTAGATATAATCTTTAAAGTTTTAAAAGTAAGAATTAAAAATTGTATTTTGTTTAATGAGCATGGAAACAACCATATGCTAATTAAGTCTCCCTGAGCTCTGAGGTCAAGGTCACATTTTCTCCCACATGTAATTGAAGTTTCCTTCTGTAATTATTTAGGATGTTGGTACATAATAATTTAAGACTTTTTTGATATTTATTTGGATGAATTTGTTGTTTTCCACATTGCTTTGAAATTTCGTGTACTTGAGTCTTAAATCACTAACAGAGTGCATATGTCTTGCATTGAGCATTGAACCCCGTATTCCTTTGTTTATACGTTCTTAGGTAATCGGAAACATTATGTGGGCTCCTTTCTTCCCCTTGATTACATTTCCAGCTGATACTTCAGTAAATATTCCATAGAAATAAGAATGCAATGTCATCTTGGTATTGTCTGCTTTTCAATCAAATGTTCAGCGTAAGTTTTGTACTTTTGTAGGAGAAGCGACAATTTGGACCATATGGCAGTCAAACCTGTAAAGATGACAGCAGCAGTTTCCCATGAGGTAAAATTTACAGCAGAAAATGCAGACTGACAACAAATCACAGCAGTCAGCCTACATCCTAGAAGTCATTATGTCAGAAAATGAGACACTGTAGTCTTGCTATTTTTGGCCAATGAAATGAGGGGAAGACAATTTGGTTATTCATTCTCTGGTGACTAATTAAAGGTTTTTATGGGTAACTCAGCCACCATATATGAGGGCATCTTGCATTTTTAAATAAAAATTTTTAAATAATACACATGATGAGAGACATATACATATCAGAAAAATTGCAGTTAATCAAATTTCTAGGGAATGGAATCATGACTAAGTCATGCAAAAGATTTTCATAGTATCATTAATATAATTAGAAAAATCAGTTGATGCAAGATGTCAGACTGCAAAAGAACTTTAATGTTATCTATTTAACATAACATATACTGGAAAACTATGATTTAAATGAATACTTCCCGGGGACATAAACAGATGTTGCATAAATTAATAAGAATTAAAGAGTTACAAATTGACACAGCATATAATGGTGAGTGAACGTGACTTCCCATCATTTTTATTCCTTAGAAATTCAGTTTTAGAATTGCATACTCTGTATAAAACAAAATTATTCAAGGGTTGAATAACAAAATGTGTAGGACAACAGAAAATCAGAGACAAAATGAAGTTCAGGACATTTTACAAAAGGGCAGATACAAAAGAATTTGATTGTGGTAAAAGAATATGGTAAACAGTAATCCACTAAGTGGGTATTGCTGGAAAATATTCCTCAACTTAAAATATGTTTCAGTCATTTTGTTCCTCAGAATTCTTCACAAAAATATTAAATATTAAAAAGTTTTCTGGCATTTAATTCTTATATCTTTCATTCCACACACATAGATTGCCACCTTTTGTAGCCATCTTCCTGAGTAAAACAAAAGTCAGAAATATTGTTTACTTTCATATACACATGTACTGTAGAAATACTTTTATCCACGTGGTATTAATTTACGCTATGTACACGGTCACAAATTTTCCGCGGAAATTAGTCCCATCGAACTTAATTCAAATATAAAAGGCATATAAGGAAAATCTTAAGATATCCGCATAATTTTCTACCACCGGATTAAACTGAAATTTCCTTGGAATCATCCTTTTTTGTATTTTTTGATAAATTTAATTACCGGTAAAAATATGTTTTGTATTTGTACAGGATGTTTCTAACACAGAAGAACAAGAGAAGAGTAACAGTGTTAATTCCTTAGAGTTCGTAGTCGATGTTGTATTAGAAAAGGTGGGTAAAATTTCTCAATCTGTCAATTTCTTCTAGTTGTTTTGTGTTGTAATACACATTATTTACAAATTGGCACTAAACTATGTTTTGATGTTTTAAAGCTTCTTTATTTACGAATCGTCACTTGGTTAGTTACTGGATTTTGTACAGGGTGCATCAGGCCTGGGGTTTGCTATTGTGGAAGACATGAAAGACAATCAGCCAGGGATCTACATCCGCAGTATCACCCCGGGGGGCGTAGCCGCTCAGGTAACCAGACTAAATTAATAACTCCAGTGGCCATCGCTGCTGAGCTTACTAAACAAAATTAATTAATGAGTCAAAGGAGACCACTGCTTTAGACATTAAACAGAATAACCCCAGGATTGTTAGTGTTAAGTAAATGGACAAAATAAAAGGGAGGGGGAAGGATGCTGCACAGGTAACTGAACCAAATAGTCAGTGCAGTGTTGTATGGTTAATTTACCACATGTAAGGATGGAAAAAGTGGGGGGGGGGGAAATCATGGATTCTTTTTGTATTTAAAAAAAATCATAACTGAATTACTTTAAGTAAATGAATTTGTCTGTTTTGTGTAGGATGGAAGGCTTAGTGTTGGGGACCAAATCCTGGAAGTTGGTGACAAACCTTTGACAGGAGTTCATTATGATAAGGTAAGTAATGTTTGACAGAAAAGTCATGTTTTATTTCAAAATGAGGATTTCAATATTAAACGAAATTGTAGATTTTCCAGTTTAGAGTCAATGCATTTGTTTACTGATGTGCTCTTTATGAATTTCAGGCAATAGAAATTTTAAGAAACATGCAAGGAACAATCAAACTCAAAGTTCGAAAAAATACTACAGATAGAAAGTTGTCACATTCGACAGCCAATCATCTGGATCCTGATACAGGCACCAAAAATGTCTTTCAATTTCAATCTGCTCCAGGTAAGAAAATTTATACTTTAAGTTTTTTTCTGTAATATCCAGAAAGTTAATATTACAAGTACATATATGTTGTTTTGGGGTTTTTTTTGTCTCTGCCTACATGTTGCTCAATCTTGGCCACATAAAAAGGTAGAAATACAGATGCCTTGTAAAAAAGTAAAAACTAAAATTTTCAAGTACCTCAATTGCTTGAATACATTTTTCAGGGGAATCTTCCACGGACCCGAACCCTTCAGAAGCTGGGGAGGAGGAGTCCACCGACCCCAAAACTTGTCCAATCATTCCAGGTCGCGAGACCACCATCGAGATCGAAAAGGGACGTACAGGTCTGGGACTTAGCATCGTAGGAGGGGCCGATACCCTGCTTGTAAGTTTTCTCTCTGTTGTTCTAACATCCAAGGAACATTTTTCTTTATTGATAAAAACTATGGCTGACATATCAGTTGATCATTTTCGAAATTTTCTTCGGTGTTAAATATGCTCTTTTAGCATTTAGTACAGCATAACAAAATGTCTTCAGATATGAGATGAAACTTTCAACTCTAAATTAAAAATTTTGACAGGGTGCAATTATTGTCCATGAGGTTTATGAAGAAGGTGCTGCTGCCAGAGATGGCAGACTGTGGGCAGGGGACCAGGTCTTAGAGGTGAGTGACCTACTTATCTATCTCTGTACAAGAGACCCACATTGTGTAGCACATTTTAAATTCCTGTTAGTGTAAAATCACATTGTTTTCAAGTGTGAAAGGGCGAAAATAACAATTTTTTTTCTGTACAAGATTTTTAAATTAAATGTTTTAAATTCCTTAAAAATCACATATTTTGGTGGGGTCATTTGATTTTGTAAAATAATGGTTTGTATGAATGTTGGATAGTAATGCATATGAAGTTTAAAATTTTGTGGTGGTCGTAAATTCATGGGTCTCTCAGTGCCTTGAAATCAACAAAAATTAAACCCCACAAAAATTAGTGATTTCACAGTATTATGTAATTTTAATATTTTTTAAATGAAATTACATCCATTGCTTTAATAAAATTTGATCAAAGAAGTCATATTATGGCCAGGGAAATTTTAATAGTCCAATTTTTTTTCCTGTAAATTTAAATGTTACAAATGATGTTATGTAACTAAAAAGTAGGAAGAAAGCTGGAGCCAAATAATTTGATATGTGAAGTAAATGAAAGAAATCTTATGTTATATTTTTATCACAACTAATAGTTCAATAAAGAAGAACCTTTAGGCTACACTGGTATTTTTAATTTTTTTCTTGTACTCAGGTAAATCATGAGGATCTGAAGGATGCCACCCACGATTATGCAATTCAGGTTTTACGTCAGACGCCATCAACCGTTCAGATCAAGGTATTCCGTGACGATGCTCAGGTGAAGGAGGAGGATATTTACGACATTTTTACCGTAGAACTGACGAAAAAGCCTGGACGAGGACTCGGGCTAAGCATTGTGGGAAAGAGAAATGACGTAGGAGTTTACATATCAGACATTGTAAGTTCAAATGATTGAGAGCGAATCAATACTTTTTAAAACTGAAAACACAATTGTGAGGGAATAAAGTTATTATGAAGTTTTTCTTTTGGAATCAAAGAATGGAATTTTAATTGAAAGTGATAAATTTGGGTAATAAATGAACTAGAATCTCCTTTTCTTGAATTGATCCCATAGATTATGATTTTGAATTTAATATATGATTTACAATACTTTCACAATTAAAAGAGTTGATGTCAAATATACCTGCAGGTGAAATAACTTACACTAAATGTAAATTAAAAAGTGGAAATTAGAAAGAAATGAACATTTCATTGCACACACTTTCTGCATCCTCAGACCATCCGTTGATAAATATTTCAGGTTAGGGGTGGTACAGCTGAATCAGATGGGAGGCTGATGCAGGGGGATCAAATTCTGGCCGTCAACAAAGAAGACATGAGGAACGCCACACAAGAATATGCAGCAGCTGTACTCAAAGTAGGTCAACAGCAAGATACAGTACATGTTTATTAATTTGAGCCTTACTTGTTGAATTCTTACTTTAATCAATCTTTTAGATTGAAAACTTTATCACTGTTTAAAAAATTGCAGTTTTATTAGAATTTTTTTAATGCATGCTTTTACTGTATGATTTTCAGCAGCCTTTGTATATAAAAGCTAAAAATATATTTTTTGGAAGCTTTTGAAGTCAAATTTAATGAATAATGGATTACTTTAATTATTACACAGACTTTGATGGGCAAGGTTTCATTAACAGTCGGGAGATTAAAGGCAGGTTCCAGAGCATCATCGAGGAAAAACTCCAATCCCAGTAGTGCACTGAAAAAGTCAGAATCCAGTGTCAGCAATAAATCAAAGGGAGGCAAACACTCCAAAGGTAATACAAAAGTGATAGAGTTCTCTCCCTTATTTCACTTGTTCAGTATGATGTAAGTAGAGAGTAAGAGATAGGCCTAGAGTTCACGAAAAAGATATAGAATTCATTTTACAGTTTTATAATCATCTGTGTAATTCGCTATATCCGTAATTCGTTATAACCGTATCACGAATTCGTAAAACCTTATAAAGCGAATTCGCAATATACATGTTTTCCTTCAAATATTACTACCAAATATGTTAGGGAAGCAAATATTGCAAAACATACCTTTGATAACTAAGGTTTTATTGTGAATTGAATTATATATACAATATTCCATGAAAAAATCAAGTCAGTTCAATTTATCAAATTTTGAGATCTTTGAAAGTTCGTTATAAAAGATGTAAATTTCATTATATGTAACTTCAACCGCTGCCGTAAATTCGATATATCAGAGTTCGTTATAACCGTAAAATTTTACAAGGAATTGTTAAGAATTTTGCCAGGGACTCAGAAAAACTTCGTTATATCCATGAATTCGCTATATCCGTGTTCGTACTAAACGAGTTTTACTGTATTTATAAATATCCATGTAATTTTAAACAATTGTTTGATGAAATTTTACCACAGCACCATTTTGACCTTTTTTTAAACTCACTTTGTTTCTCAAGTACTTTTTCATCTTTTTATGACCTTTTTTTTTTAATAATCACAAATTTAAAAATGAACCTGCTTAAAAACTGTTTTAAATATTATATTGATCCTGCATTACTCCATGCACTTCTGCTTTTAAATTTGCAATAGAAATAAAAATAAATGGAAAAATTGATTCACAGAAATTAAGCTCTGTAGACATTGGAGAGAAAAAAAAGGTTTTAAGCAAAAAACAACTTGAACTTTCAGTTTTACAACTTTTCCTGGATCTTTTAAATTTTTTTTAGATGTCTCAAGTGTCCACTTTTTGTGTGATATATAGCACTAAATTAACCAAGACTTGCTTTTTTCATATTACGCTTTTGTCTTTGTTCACACCTAGTACCCCATAGCCATTTTCCCATCCTTTAAAATAAATAGCTTTATTTATCAGAAATGACCAAAATAATTTTAATAATAAATTTTGTCTGTGGCTTCCAACATAAGACGTTCAAGGAAAATCCACAAGAGTTTACAAAAATAATTTAACCCTTTTCTGAATCAGTATATTTCATTTGGGTTGTGTTATTTTTGCAATGTTGTTAAACATATATGACCTTTATTTTTTTGCTGTGTTGGTTACCAGCATTTCCTAAATTATATAGACCAGTTGATTTTGACCTCTACGTACTCAGACAGCTGATTTTGACCTGTATATCTATGTATATTTTCCTTGTCCAGTCCATTTATTGACCAATGTTTTCTGTTTTCATTCCTACAGGTCTCCCTTCCTCTAAAAGCTACTAAGTACTGGGTTATCTTTGGTCATCAGAAATAAAGTAGCTCTGATATTTTATAAAATCGTCTTCTTAGATTGATTTTAAAAGATTACTCCTTTTGAATATAGTTCTTGTGAAGAAATCAATAGGAAGGTCTTGGGTTTGCTCTTTCATGAATTTGTATATTTATAATAACTACGGATAAAAAAAATATCAAGCAATATTTAAAGATTGTGATTTATAATTATATAGAAAAAAGGTATGACTTCATGCAATGATTGACACTGTAATCAATTTATAGTTATGATGTAATGTAAACTCTTTATTGATTTTCTCTTCATATTATAAATGATAATTAATTGGTGATGGGGATATAGTTTGTAGCTCACCTGTGCTGAACAGCTCAAGAGGGCTTTTCTGATCAGCCATTGTCCAGTGTTCTTCCATCCATCTGTAAACTTTTTTAATTTAAACATCCAGAGAGCCACTGGGCCAATTTTAATCAAAGATTGCATAAACCTACCTGTAAGGTCATTAAATTCCTCTACCGAGGATATGATGGTGCCACAGTAGGAGAATCAAAGTTTTACAATAAAATATACAAGAAATCTTAAAGTTTTTGTTTCAAGAACCACTGGACCACAAAGGATGAAACTTTTATAAAAGCTTCCTGAGGTAGTGTTTAATGTAAATTGTTCAAATCATTGTCCCATGGGTTAAAGCGGGGCCACCATTGAGAATCATAATTTTACACTGAAGTATTAAAGAAAAAAAATCAAGAACCATTTGCCAAGAAAAAGTGAAAGCTTTTTAGAATGATTTCCGAGATGTGTAGATTATAAATTCATAGGAAAAGGATTAAAATAAACTTTTTTCTCAATAATAACACAGCCTTGAAAAGGCAATTTTATAAGGGAGCATCAACATCTGGCTAACATGTAAGAGGGAAAAGGGGGGCACAAAAGTTTTTAAAAATTTTACAAAGGAATAGATACATGAGGAAAATCTGATAAAGAAAATCAGGTTCTAAATGATTCAGGTGAGTGTTGTGGACCACGGGCCTCTTGTGCAGAATCCTACATCAGTGTATACACATAATCAGACAAACAGATACAGCATAAAGTGAATAAATATATTTATGACAAACTGCTTTTTTAAGGACAGATTGATATGTTCAAGGATATGTTTAAAGAATGTGTTCACTTTTCTATTCTTATAAGCCTATTTTCTACCTGGAAACAAAGACATTCAATGTATAAAACAAATATCGTTTTCCATCATATGTACATTGTGGTTGTGAACCTATTTTTGTCCTGTTTATTTTGTTACCCAAATTATGAATAAATTGTTACAGACTATGATGAATCGTGAATAAATTATAAATGCAACTCTTTAGTTATGAGGTATTTTTGATTCTCTATTGAGAACTAAAGTAAAGTGAAATTAGTATTCCTGGCCTCTTTACAAATCAAATTTGTTGCCTACTTTTAAAACAAGAGGTTGAAAAAAAAATTTAACAATGGTTGAATTAAGTGATAGATTTTCCTTTGAAAGAGTCAGTGAAAAAGAGTATACAGAAATTTTACTGGTATAGTGTATAAATTTGGAAAGATTAATTCCTAAGATGACCAGAAAGACCTCCAGTTATAACCCAGGATTTAGTGGCCGTGGATTTTTATCTTGTGTAAGTTTGACCTTAACTCATGCAAACTTGGTATGCATGACTTAGTATGCATGATCTGCCCTGCTGTGCCTCAAGTCTGCATGAGCTGTATCTAAGACTGACTGTTTAACGATTACAAACTTATATATCTGTCCCCTTCTGTCTCACACATGTATTCTTGAGCCCATGACAATAACCCATCATATTTCCCCCAATAAACGTTCAATATACACATGCACATACCGGTACATACATAAACCAATTGCAATATATATATCGATACAAAAACATTCTGATACATTGTATTATTACCTTTGCATATACATTATTACTTGATATTCATACACTGTGATAAGATCAACTCTTCCTTAACCCCAAATTTCCTCTTATTTTATATCTTTATTATTTTCCCTCTGTATTTTATTGCAGTGTATTCTTATTTTTCCAGCAGGTTGTCATTTTCTCCAGTTATTGTAATGGACTTGATTTTTTTTTTTTTTTTGTCTGCATGGCATTGTTTACTTGTTGTCTGCATATTTTTTTTTTAAACACTTTAATTTATACCCAAAAGAGAAAGTAAAATACCAACACTTTAATTGCAAGCTTCTTAGGTCGCAGTGACACAACTTAAGTTTATTAAGAAATGCAAGAGTGCAGGTGTACCAAAGAAAGAGGATTGTGGTTGTGCATGTAGATAGTTATTGTCAAACGTTTACATCAATGTTAACAGTATAGTCTTTATCAAGTATTTAACATCGCAATGAATTTAAATTAAATGTAACAAATTGGAATAATTGATTATAAATTTATAAAGGTAAAAGTTTAGAAATTTTAATAACTGCTATTCATGTTTGGTAAAAGGTTAATTATGTAGTGAGGTATTTGTATATATATAAACCAAAAATAGAACAACTAAATAATTATGGTTTTATCCACCGGTATTTAATATCATGTACATAAATTTAAGTCTTTCATAAATCGAAATTTTTTTGTCTTTTTTTTTTTTATGTTTAAATATTGAATGGCATTGAAACATACAATTCTTTTTTTAATTTGAAAATCTATTATGAGTACACCTAATTCTTTCTCAATATTGACCATTTATTACATCAATAGAATAATAATTATTTTCAGGAATACTTCTACTGAATTACTTGAAATATCTTTTACCATTGACAATGGTTGGTCTCTTTTACACAGGTCACAGTGAGGATACAACTCACATCCGTGTGGTAGAACTGGAGCATGACATCACAGGATCCCTGGGACTGAGTATATATATAACGGGGGGCATAGGTAGTTTTATCGGGGATTTTATATCTGTCATCATTGCCAATATGTCACCTGCTGGACCAGCAGCAAAGTCAGGAAAACTCAAGGTACCAAACATAACATCGTGTACTGTCTGGGGTGTATATTTATAAGGTTATATCTCGTATTCTTCCCTGAAGATCTTATAAAAGCTAGATGCTTATTAGGCTTTGCTTTTTTCAATTAGATAGCAGAAGGTAGAACTATTGGGAAAACACATATAAAATTGAGTGATTTTGTATCTCTATAACAAGGTTCCCTCAGGTGTCTTGTAGTATGTTTCAAAAGTTGAAATATTTAGCTTATGAAATCTTGCAGAGAAAATTTTGTATAACAATACCTTGTATGTATAGATTGGAGACAAGATCCTGAGCATTAACGACGTACAGCTGGATGGCATGTCTCATGATGAGGTGGTCCAGTTACTGAAGAAACCTGGAACCATAAAACTAGCAGTCTCGCAAGGTAAGGAAACCAGTAAACCCCCTGTATCATAAGGTAAGGGAACCAGTAAATGTTTAACTAGCAGTCTTGCAAGGTAAGGAAACAGTAAACCCCCTGTATCACAAGGTAAGGGAACCAACCATAAACTAGCAGTCTTATAAGGTAAGGGAACCAGTAAACTAGCACTTATAAGGTAAGGGAACCAGTAAACTATCAGAAGAGATAGCTTACTTTTATAAGGGAACCAGTAAACTAGCAGTCTCACAAGGTGAGGGATACCAGTAAGTCCCCATTATATCATAATTAAGAGACATAAACTCTGCATCATAATGCAAAGGAACCAGTTATTGGCAGTTGGGAGGGGGGTTAGTAATGTTCCTGCAAAAATAAAATTCTAATTCTGCTGATTCAAGGTATGTATAATCCATTCAATCTACAGTGCCCCTGATAAACTGATACATGTACTCACTGTGCAATCAACTTTCAGTGTCACCAACTAGGAGAACAGTCAAATTTGCCATTTCACATGGTAAGGTTTTGATGTAAATAAGGTTCAGATAAAATCAAATTCAAGACCATGACCCATCCTTAGCACTCAAAACCCTATATTATGAAGATATGTAAAAAATCCCTGAACTTTCAAAACCATTAAAAGACATGACACACCCTGTTCATTACTATCTCTGAAACACATGTCAAAACCATGATGCAATAATGATGCAACTTTAATCATCAAAACCACAGCAACAAATAGAAACACTATGCAGAGCACAGGCACACCCTGAACTTCAAGCATTGAAATGACTTGTCAGGCCATGTTGCACACTGAACTATCAAACTGCACGGCATATGCTTTAAAAGTACACATACACAACCAATACCATGAATGACACTCAAAAGTACACCCCCCTCCCAAAAAAAAAAAAAATTGGAGCAATTCAAATCAGGTAAAGTATTAAAACTATCTCTATCGTGGTTATTCAAGAATAAAAATCATATCTTTGCAGCAGTACAGTTTTTGATTTACAAGTCTGTTGTACAGTAAATTTGTAATTTGATGATTTCAGGAGAGGACACGAGAGTAAGTGTCAGTGGTCGTACGTCGCGGCAGGTCAGTACTGACATGTCACAGGAGTATGCTGAACTTATGGCGCAGGACAACGTGTTCCAAGAAGCCATGGCTCCTGATGAAGGGTACGTTTCAAAAACTTATCTATGGATCCCGGCGTTTATATATGTAATTGTCTTTATGGACCATTTAAGTTTTTAAATAAATTAAGACATAAAAAGGTTATCTGTGTTTTTAAGATTTTTATAAAAAATTAAAAAGGTTAAAGTTTGTCAAAAATAACCATGCATAATTATTGGTTTTGTATAATTCTATATTCATTATATGACAATTATTCAGTCGTGATATTGTATGTTATAATTATTACAGACCCCCACCTCAGTGTAAGACCCTCCATCTGAACAAAGGACCTGACGGCCTGGGGTTCTCCATCGTAGGAGGACACGGCAGTCCTCACGGGGATCTTCCAATCTACGTCAAAAATGTCTTCGCTAAGGGAGCTGCTGCGGACGAGGGCAGTCTGAAGCGAGGGGACCAGATTATCTCAGTGAACGGACAGAGTCTTGAGGGCTGCACGCATGACGAAGCTGTGTCCATCCTCAAAAACGCCAGAGGTGCTGTTACAATGACTGTGTTGACTTCATAGAATAAACACTCCAAAGAGTGACAAAGGAAATTCTGGAGTTCAAAACTGGAGACTTTTTTATGCAAGAAACTAGGAGTAGTAGAACTAAAGATTATTTTATCTTATATTTGTATACATGGTCAATTAAGAAACATGTAATTTTAGGAATTTTCTAGCTCTCCATTTTGATGTCAGTGATTGCATGTTTTTCTCTTTTTTTTTAAGTCAGCAGTGTTATTTATTATAACCTTAATTTTTATTCTATTGTGTAAGAATTATGTTGATATGTATTACATGTACTTAGATTTTATATTATACCAATTTCAGAATGTACACATTTTGAAGTGTTTAATATATTCATTACCAATTTTTGTTTGCCTTTTAGCTAGCTCTATCATCTGATATCACATTGTGCTATATAATCTACATTTATAAACAAGACTGTGTTAATTCATGTTTTCTGTATATTTAGGCACATTGTTTTGGAGCAAGTAATTCTCACCAAAACAAGTGCACATAATTTTGTATTATATTTTATTAAAAATGCAATGAAGAATAATTTGTTGTTAATTTTATTGAAGGAGGTGGCATTCTAATTGAATGCTACTACATGTATAGTACTGAAATATGTTTTAATTATGGTTCCACTTTTGTTAACAACACTTGGTTCTCTACAATGATGTTTATTTGGAGAAATTAGAAAGAGACAATATATTACAAACTGGAATGTATACACATGATATGCAGAGCATATGTTTATGAGGTTTTGAATATAGTTTTCAATTTATCAAATTTGTTTTGAAATGAATTTTAAGAAGGCATATATTAAAACATCATAAATAGAGAAAACAGAGAAGATTTGAGAATTGAATTTTTATTTTACACCCTTTACATGTAATATCACATTGGTAGCTTGGCATGGAATAGATAAAGGTATTTTTTTTAATACTTAACTTTTTTTAATTCATGTAAATCATGATCAAAGAATTTACTCAATTTCATGAATGCTACATCATATTAAATTAGTAAATTTAGTGTTGTTGCCAAATAATTTGTGCAACCTGTAAAACAAATTTCTAGGTCACATTTTTGGACAATTTTGTTGATGCACATTATTGACTTTAATGGTTTGATTTATGAATGTTTTAATTACTGTTGCTTAATCAAGGCATCTTCCATCAAACCAAAATGGAGTCAAGAGTGCTAAATTTGTCACATAACAATCACTTATCATTTTGTTAAAACATTTGTTATTTCTTTGGTCCAGAAATAAAATACCTGTACAAATAGACAGTGTTATTTTTTTTGTTTTTGCTTCAACTGCTGCAAGAATTTGCCGTTGCCCAATAGTTCATTTGTTATTGATGTAATCACTCTGTCTATATAGCTGTCTGTATGTCACATAAATTATTTACTTATGACATATTTAGTTAATTAAACTGCAGAAAAAGAGATACATGTATTTAGTTGAAGGAATGTCTCAAGAGTGGAAGAGACTGGTTTGTATAGTACTTGAATTTACCAAATTTTAAGGTGCATCTTGATTGGAACTTATCAAATTATTTTAGCTCATCTGAACCAAATGCTTAAGTAAGCTCTTGAGATTGAAAGGTGTCTAGGGTCCATCTGGAACCTTTCCACTGGGAGGAAGGACTACTAGGTCAATTCAAACCAAACATGTCTCAAAGCGTCCTTGGGTGAAGAAGATTCATAAAGAGCCCCTCTTTTACAGAAAATAAAAAATGAATAAAATTTTAAAGGGCGTATCTTTTGAAAACCTTTTTTTTTTTTTTTGAGAACCACTGGACCAGATCTACAAAAAAAGAAGAAACTTCTGTGAAAGGTTCCTGGCATGTAGAATAGAGTTTTTTCATATCAACCTCAGGTAGGATGGGGTCACAATGGGTGATCAAAGGTTTACATGGAAATGTGTAAGAACAATCCTTTTGAAGAACAGCAGGACTATGATAATCATTCTTTTGCAAACCCCTAGAGGTAGTGCTGAATTATTTTGTTAAAATCACTGCGCAGAGGATAAGGTTTGATCAAAATATGGAATCAAATTTGACATGGGATTTTTAAGCAAAGGATTGTTTGTAAATGTTCAGAACTCATTAGAACCTGTTCTTTCCACTTTTGTCAGGAATAGAAAGTACATACACTACCAGGTAAATGGAAATATCTGCCGCAAATAAAATCAAGATGTGTTTGGTAAACACTGATGTCCCCGTAATGTCAAAGGATGAAAAGTATTGTTACCCAAAAGAGGGCTTGTCTAAATGAATTTACCTGTGAAATATGAAAGCACTCACCATTCAAATGCTGTGGCCAAGGTTAAATTTTTATTTTTAAAAATGTGGGTCAAACTCAAAGTTCAAGATCAAAGACTCAAATTAATGGTATACAGAAGAAACAAAAAGGTTAAATATTCAAGCCCAAGTACCAACAGTTCAAAAGTAATGGCCAAGGATAGAGTTTTTCAAAAGTAGGTCAAAAAGTCAACAGGTAAAAAATTTTATCCAACCAAACGAATATATCTGTGAAATACGGAGGCTTTTGTTCTAACTGTTCAAAAGTTCTGAGGTTAAAGTTTTATTTTAAGTGAGTCAAACTTAAAGGTAAACACTATTTATATCCAGGGAAATGTCTTGTCATAATGAATACACATGTGAAGTATGTAAGCTCTAGCACCAACTGCTCTAAAGATAGGTCAATTTTAAAGTGTGGTAAATTCTATGAAAAAAAGGTCAAACTTCAAGTCAAGAGGTCAAATGTGGCGGTATACAAAGAAAGGCCTTGTCACAAGGAATACTCATGTAAAATATGAAAGTCGTATCAGCTCCAACCCATCAAAAGTTATGTGCAAAGTTAGCCTTTTGTGGAAAAACAGAAAAAACAAATTGACGGACAGGGCAAAAACTAAAAAAAAATTCTCTCTCTCAGAAAGAGGGAGTTGGATGGGGTGGGATAGCAACCACTTGTTTTTAAACATTTTTAACATTAAAAATATTACCAGACACTAGAAACAAAAATATTTTTTCATCTGTGTTAAATGAGCTAAAGAGGCTTCACGACCTCTTGAATTAAGGTCCTACCCTACACCAAATTTACCCATAGAAAACCCACTAGTTAAAAGCCCCCGCCTTTAATTAATGTTGCGACATCTCATTTACGAATTCAAAGTAAAACTTTTTCCACAGTGGACTAGAACTAGTGGAAATGACATACATCTATAAATTCTATAATTATGATTTCTTGAGATTAGAGGTGGGAGTATTTCTCCTGTTCCCTTGTCCAGAAATACCCGATGTTAGTATTTTTTTTAGTTTGCCTAAAAATATCCAGTAACTTGGTGCAGGTCAGCCCATTTGGTAATTAATTTTCTTGTTAAATAAAGCCTTAAAAAATCAAAAGGCAAAAATAAAAAACGGGATTTGAACAAACTCAACAATTCATTTCGGAGGCGGGAGATAACTCTAGTTACATTCTATTAAAAATAGAGGGGGAGGGGGTTGACGAGAAAAGCGAGGATGCAGATGACGGGAGGTGGAACAACCGGCCTTTTAATGAAATTTCTTTTCTAAATCAAAAGAAAAGAATATAATTGGAGATAACAGTTTGGACTTTTAATCAACTAGAAATAATGACAATTCAAATTAAGCTTAAGCTTATTTAAGGTATTGTTTATTATTATATTTCTGTACATGTGAAAATGTTTCCTATATAAAGTTCAGAAGGTAAAATGACTATTTTTCATAGTCTGAAAATTTCCACGCATAGAAAGCTATACCCCGGAGGTATAGCATAGGTTTTGCTATCCACCCTCGGAAGATTTTCATGCAATTTTTGCCGCCAATTTTGATTTTCAGCGATAAATCAATAGACTCAGAAATTATAATATACATCAGTATAATAAAACACTTATCTACTGTTTGTCATGTGATGGGGATGGGATACATGTAGCTCTTTTATCAAACCCTTGACAGGAACTATTCCCCTCGGGCAAGCCCTCGGGGAATAGTTCCTGTCGTGGGTTTGATAAAAGAGCTATATCCCACTCACAACCAGTGGATAAGTGTATAATAAAGAAATATATACAAAGATTTTGAGAAATCGTGTAAACAGTTTTCTTGATCGTTCAATTTTGAAAAATTAAGGTATTTCTGCCCTTGTGTGATGTCGTGGGTTTTTGCAAAATATCCAGTAGAAATATATATTTTGAAAGAGTGCTTTTTAACAGATGTAATGAAAACTATTGTTTAGTAAAAAAAAAAATTAAATGAAAATTTCCTTTAATCAATTATTCAATCTTCTAAAAATTTTCCTAAGGGCAGTAACTCCACATCATGTATTTTCATTCAGGAAATTATTTAACTTCTAAAGTAGAATGTTTTACCTGATATTCATAATTCAAGCACACTAAGAAAGTACTTGACAATTATTTTGGAACTCTTACCTTAAACAGTTAAACAATCGAATTTCCAAATTGTATTAAACGAATTTCTAAATTGTTCAAACAATTTTATTCATCGTACAAACGAATCTCTAGATCAAACAAATTTTTAAATTGTCTCTGATCGTCTAAATCGTATTTGAACGAATTTCTAAATCGTTCAAACGATTTCAGAAATCGTACTGTAAAGTTGTAAACGAATATCTAAATTAATCAAACGAATTTCTGATATCAGACAAACACATTTCCGAGTCATTCAATTTTATTTATTTTTCCTGCAAAATTGAAATGACACTAGTTCAGCTTTTAGACTAGGTTTCCGCATCTCACACTAAGAGGGTGACCTCGGCTATGGTTGATTTCCTAATTTTACACACACTTTTACTCTAAAACCAAAATGAAAACGGACGATGTTTCCGGATACAGTTGGTCAGGCGTTAGGCCTAGGTTATTGATCAAAATTCGATGGACACTGGCCAGTTTCACATAAATCATGTGAACATTTCTATGGATTTTTGTTTAGGATATTGAATGAGTAACCATTTGGTGTTGGCGAAACATGGCATATGATAAATTGAAAGGTCTGTATACAACAGTTTCATGAGGAATGTGAAATTTTGCAATGATGATTCGTACGTGTGTTTTTAACGTTTCTCAAACACGACTAAGTGTTTTCTTACATGCATAAAGGGAGTAAAATACATGTCCTGCATAATGTTGAAATGAAATATATTATTTAAATTAATGAAAGTACTCTGGTGATAAAGGCCTACCTAAGGGAGATGGAAAGGGCGAGGTATATCAAGGTATCCCGCCCACCCCCAGGGACAAATCCAGGTTTGTGCTGATAGTCAGGGACTCGGGGAGCGTAAAATGCAAAAAATGGTATATTATTTTCGTTTAAGGTAGTAAAACTGTGCTCTCTGAGGCTAAGAGAAGATACCTTTAGAAAAAATACACTATGCAAAGAATTGAAATATAACAGAGAACACTAGGACCTATATGAAAGTAAAATGTGTGTTTTGGGTTCCTTTATTTAGTAGAGACTATGGGGAAATAACAGAAAAACCAAGAGATAGAGTCATTAAAGGCGGGGAAATTCCCCAGCCTCCACTGTCTGTCTTGGGGACAACCCGGTTGTTGTGACAATTCAGTTATCTCCCTGTATATTGCAATTGTAAACCCATTTTGCCAAAAATTTAAGTTCATAAACTTTCTGGAATAACGTTAAGGACCTAGCTTCCTTTTAATCCAATCAACAAATGTTAAGTATTTTATTAATTGATTCACTTAATCAGTAAAAATTTCTGTTTTTACAGTCATAAAATTTGAATTAGACAGACAAAGATGGAGAGTTAAAAAACATCTGAATAGGGCAGAAATTTGGATCATCCAGTCAAAAAGTGGGTTATGTTTCAAAGTAAACTAGATAATAAATCTTCACCTGCTGTATACATACAATCCATATGCATGTAAATACATATTATATCCAGATATCTTTGATATCTATGATATCTAGCCCATGAAAGCTCAAAATCTTATTTCCAATGTTGTCCTTTGCTGTGTGTTGGATGTTGGCATGAGGGCTTCATTTCTGTGGGATGAAACTGTCATGGGGTACTCAGATAAAAACAACATATCCAAGCTGGATCCCCTTTACCCTCTCACATATACAACCTTTGCCACCAATCACATGGATTGAACTTGGATTGCAGCAGTGAAAAGCGAGTGCGCTAACCAGATCAGATGAAGTAAAAATTATAAGCATACAGTGTGAAAAAGACCCAGGCTGGCAGGGTTCTTTGGCTCGCTCCCTCTATCTCTTTTTTAGATGAAATTATAATTAATCCAATTGTATTTTTTAGTTGCTACATTGTTTAAATCAAGTTCTAACATTAAAATTTCTCAGTTTGCATATATAATTTTCAAATAAGACAATGAAAATTAACTTGTATTGTATCATGACACATATATAGTACATGTAAATACAATATGTGTATCATGAGACCTAGCGATCAATATGATTGATGTATCACTGTATTGTTACACCTCTAACTAAAACTGCCTTTGAATATTATTATTTCTCTCTTTTTGCTCACTCTCACTCACTTCTGATTGTAATTTGTATTAAGGAAAACTTCTGAAAACTATATAATTTAAGGTTATTAAGTAGGTAGAATCCACAAAGTATTTTTGGTCTTAGTTGTAAGCTCTCTTTTAATAGTGGCCCCAGGTCATCCAGCTCTCCAATGAAAATCCCCTTCATGAGGTCACTGAAGGGTAAATAGAAGACAGGATTGAGATTTAAATTAACAGTAAACCCTTAGGAGTTATGCAGCATCGAGCATAAATATATACATTAAAGCTGAAAGATAAAGGATTGAGGTTTTCTGATCACTCATTGTCTATTATCCATCCATTCAAGTTTTCTGTGGACCTACTGTAAAAGCACAAATATTCGTGGGGGATTACATTTAGTTTATGTCATTGTTAACAATTATAAGCAAAATTAAATCCCACACGAAATTTTATTTGACTATATATTGAATAAGGTTACTTTCAAAACAAGGAAATTAAATGCCAATGCCAAGGAAACTATTTTTGATGACAAGTTAACGAAATTTTATCCCCACGAAAATTTGTGCTTCTACAGTATTTTAGATTTACTTTTTAAATCTAAAAAGAACGTAGAATTAATTTGCAAAGTTTGTTGTGTGATTTCTTCTTAAATTTTGAACAGCTTAATTAGCAGCTAGAACTCAGTAAGGCCAAGCTTAAAAAATTCTTTGTTTGCAGTTGCTGACCTATAATTTTTTGAGGGGTAGGTAACTAGGCATTCTTTTTTTAAATTCAGTTTTTGGATGTTTGTTAGATAACAAATAAGGCCAAGCTTAAAATATTCTTTGTTTGCAGTTGCCAACCTATAATTTTTAGACAGGGTAGGTAGGTTGGCATTCTTTTTTTCTTTTTTTTTGGAAAAAAAATTGTTTTCAGATTTTTGTTAGATAACATAAAATAAAGTTTTTCATTGGCCTACTATACATGAATAAGCTCCACTCTTGGTGTAAAATACTGATTGATAAAGACAAAAATTGACAATGAAACACTTTCAATATCCTGAAAAATTTGAAAAGAGGATAATATTACAAAATGGCTAAAAAAAAAGTTTGGGTCGGGTGCATTTTCAGTGGGTCGGTAGGCAACTGCAAACAATTAATATTTTACTTTAGGCCTAATAGAGCTTTTCATAAGCCTACTAACCAAGAATAATCTTCACTGTTATATAAACCACAGATTGATAAAAACAAAAACAAAAATTAAACAGTTTTAATATCCCAAAATTATTTTTAAAAAATATATAAATAACAATATGGCTTTAAAAAAGTTTGGGTCGGGTGAATTTTTAGTGGGTGGGTATAAGCAACTACAAACAAATAAATTTTTATTTTAGGCCAAACAGTTTGCTAAAATCAGGATCAATTCCTACATAACACATGTATACAAAAATTTTTTTTTTCTCCGTATCTGCAAAACCATGTCAGTTACATTGATATTGAAGCATCTCCATGGTGTTTTGATTCAGAGACCTCTTTTGGTTTACCGGTTATAATGGGGACATATTAAAATGGAATCACAATTTTTCAAAGGAATTTAGAAATCTTTTCAAAATCTTCTCAAGAACAACATGGTAAAAGTAACTCAGTAAAGTGTTGTGACTCTTAGGTCTATTTTTGTTGAAATTTTATTCTTTCGAATAAGATACTAATAAATTTTTATTTTTTATTGACAGAAAACTATGAGAGAGCTCAACGAGTATACAGATATTTCTTCAGTGAAGAGAGAAATATCTATCCATTTTACATTCCTGCATTTATCTATATTTTCTTACTTCTCTTGCGTAAGTATGAAGAGTACATATTATACATGTATGCTAATTGTATTTTGTTTAAGTGACATACATGAACATAGACAAAAGATAAAAGAATAGCATAGCATTGGCTTGGAAAATTTGGATATATACAAACAAAACAGTTTTGAACTTTATATTTCTTATCATTCCTATAATTCAGGAAGAAATATCTTGAGCATTAAAGAATTTGATATATTTTTATGGTTACACACAACTTTGCTAGCCAAGGATCAGATTCGTTTACCCTCATCTTAGGGGAGATGAGGGTAAACGAATTGGACACTGGCTAGCAAAGATGGGTTTCATAGTCATTATTGGAACCATGCATAGTCTACTGTAAAATCACTTATTTTCGAGGGGTCTAATTTTTCGTGGTTTAGAGAAAAAATATGGATTCAAGGGGATTTAATTTTGAAATGAAGAATTGTTTTAAAAATAGTTATGTGACATTTTATATTTCATGGTGGACATAAATTCGTGGGTCTCTTCATACCTTGAAAAGAACAAAAATTAACACCCCCACCCCACCCACCCCACGAAAATCAGTGATTTCACAGTATTAATGCTACTGCATTTTTTGCCCCAAAAAAAAAAAAAAAGAAAGAAGGAAAAATATTGTAATCTGAAAAAAGTTAATCAACTGAACTTGACATTTCAGATGCATTATGGGATAACATTCCAGATTACTGGAATAGCGTGTATACACAGGTCAGTGTTTATAAACGATTCTCACTTCCGCGCATACTGTGTTTCTTCTTGATTATTCATGTAGTGTACATAAATATTCCTTGATTGAAAATTTGCTTCAAACACATATTGCTTTAATTTTTGCCAAGGTGCATGAAAATTTTTGAAAACTAAATTAGTTTTACTTTACAAAGGATTTCATTAGCTGAGGTTTAATGTACAATTTTTCAGCCTACCTTTCCCGAGGTTCCACCTCCCATGTTAGAATACTCAAGTGCTCAATATCCTAACGAAATCACGGTTGTGACAGCTTATTTTAACCTTGGAGATTTTCAGAAGGGTCCAATAAATATTTTTACACAAGACATGTACAAGCAGTGGATGTCTGCATATTCTAAGCTCAACAACAGCGTCATTGCATTCACTGATTCTGAGGACATAGCCAGACTTTTCAGACAGGAAAGGACTAAACATTTTGCAGAGATGTTAACCCAAGTCCATGTTGTCAAACGAGATGACTTTTGGGCATTTAAACTCGCTCCTAGAATCAAAGATATATACTCAGAGCCAGATTATCCCAAATTTCCACCAAATACTGTGAACGAATATTACTCTTGTGCAATGCATATAAAGTATGAACTTCTAGAAATTGTGATTAAGAAAAAGCTCCATAGGACTAGATATTTATCATGGGTCGATATAGGTTACTTTCGGGAGAAAATGAATAAGATTTACAAACTTGAGCCCCCAGATAATTTGAAGGAGGGCCATATTGCATATACCCAGATTCATCCATTTTATGAGTACATGCAGCCAGAGGATATAATAAAGAACAATGCTGTGTGGATAGCTGGAGGTTTTATCTTAGGAAAACCAGAATACCTCATGATCATGATTGAAGATTATCGGAAAGCTGTGGAGGACTTGATTTCTAAACGTTTGATGGACACTGATCAACAAGTCCTGTATATTCTGTATTCTCAGTACTCCGATGTCAAACCCAGGGTACCAGTTCAAACAATTTACCACCTGTGTAGGTGTAACTGGTTCTTCCTTGGAGAGCTCTGTCGTGATACATATGATCGACAATTTAGACCATTTTTTCCTTTGTTGAACTTTTTATCTTACTTAGTGTAAACTTTGCCTATTTTATAAAGTTTGCGTCCAGACGGTCCTCAATAACTATGGTGCATTTCGAAGATTTGACTCTCTTTAGTTTAACTCCTATGTTTTAATATAAAAGATAAATAATTTTATCAACAAATATTGAGTCCTTTTTAAAAAAAAAACAATTTTCAGAATGTACAGTGAAACTTGTCTAATCTGGATGTTCTGTAATCCAAAATCTTGTCTAAAATTATATTTAAGCTTTTAAGTCCCTTGCAGAAATTTCAGCTGTTTTAAATGTTGTCAAATCCATAAAGTCTTACCCAGCCAGTTTCTTTGGAACCCGTGGTGTCCAGAATAGACAAGTTTTACTGTACATGTATTGCTATACTGTAGATCACTTAATTTTTGTGACACCTTATTTTCACGAGATAGTCATTGACTCTTTATTACCAAGACAAAATTTTCACGAATTGTGGTCAATGCTCTATATAATCGTAAGGAATTCTATTATATTCTATTCTGTAATGAAATTTTCGTGAGCATACCGTCTCTACGCAAAAATAAAGTTCTCGCGAATAAAAAGTGATTTACAGTATATACACGTGCGACAAACCTGTGATTGTACTGCATACGTTCATGCATAATATGATTCCAAAAGTCCTTGTACATATTGTAAAAGTTAAATTTACCCTCCTATGTTTTGTTTTCTGTAGGTTAAACTTAATTATATAAATTTAAAAATGGATAAATTAGTCATTAAATTTTAATTTTTTTCATTGTTAAAGTAATTGTGAATTGTTGAAGACCTAGTCAACTTTAATTTAGAAATGATTAGAAAGAGATGATTTGGGTTCCTATACCTATTTCTTGTATATGTTGTTATGTGCTCAACTTGTTTCAACATTCCTTTTTTCTTATTTATTTCTTAATATTTATAAAACTAATCAGGCATTGGGTCTTCCCTATATTTTAAATTTGGTATAAATATTGTGATACATGTATTTATATTGTAAATTCATTTGCTTCCCATTGAAAGCAATTATTTGATAATATCCTAAAATGTTTCTAGGATACATGTACATGTAAAATGTGTATACTTTTATTTAGATATGATCTTGATCTCATATTTTCTGATTTTGAAATTAGCTCACTCTATCAAACACATAAATAGTCCCTCCATTTTTTTCCCAAGATATGGACACCCAATTTAAATTGAATCACACTTTTTAGCTCACTATATATTTAAACTTTTCAATACTATACTGATGTTTGCTTTTACATAGCCAGTTGCTCAGGTGAGCAATGTGGCCCCTGGACCTCTTGTTTTATGCCCCATTATGTCTGTCTGCCTATTCTGACATTAGCATTTTTGTGTTTGGATCAAAACTTTTAAAAATAATAATAGGCCAAAGAAAAGGCTTAGAATATTCCAACCTTGTCAACTGATACATCTTGAGTAGAAACAGGTGTGTCAGACTATAAAAATAGGTTGCTGTGATCTTCAGTTATTGTGATATTGACAAATATGGCAAAATCTTGTTTGGCTCATAACTGATAAACTAATAGACTTAGAATCATCAAACTTGGTTGTCTTTAAATTGACTTTGTTCTCTCTTTTCTTTTGCTGATGTTTTAAACTTCTTTTTTTTTTAATCCAAGACAATAAAAGATTTTTTTTAAAATAACCTAACAGACATCATGGGTAGATAGTGAAGAAAAATTTTAACCTCACCAATATTTTACAAGCTAAACTTATATGACTTTAACTTTTACCTTCCATACTTAGTTTATGTGAAGGTCATATGAATGTACTAAATCCTGCATGTGTATTATTTTGCAATGTCATATACCGTAATCAGTTCTATCAGGGTATGGAAGAAATATTACCATTCTAACAATTGTTTTTTCTGTTGAAGCCTGCCTATATCATCCAAAATAAATTGTTGTTGTTCTGAACAAAACTTTATTTTACATTGTAGGAACTGTCTTTTTTTAATGCATTTTATGATTTACCTGTACATCACCTGTACTAAGTGTTCAATATTTCACCATACCAGTTCAAGACTAGTCCCATTGCATAAATAGTTTACTATTGGATTTTAATCATTTTTTCGAAGTTCAATTTTCTCTTTAATGAGAAGAGATATAGACTTTAGTGTGACTGATGTGAGGAGAATTCCGCATTCCCTCTATTTTGTTCTTCACTGTATTTTGTTCTTCGATATTGTGACCTTAATATTCCCATGTGCAATTACATGTTCCTATGTCAACATTATTGATTGTGAATCAAATATCCTTTTTAAAGAATGATCTGCATTCAGTGTATGTTTTTGACTATAAACATATATTTAAATCTTGTGTATATTATGCACAATGCATTATTTTGTGTTTTTTCTTGAAATGTTATTTTTAACAATGTGATGAAATATTAAATGTTTTAATGCATCATTTTTCCAGAGATCTTCTTTGAAAAAAAATACATGTAATTATTTGAGAATGTATATTTCATAGTTTTATTCACAAAATATAACATAAATCTGTTCTATGTGATTTAATTTTCTGGAGAGGGAGGCACCAATTTTTTATTAAAAATTTCCAATCACAGGAGATCGCGTACCTATCAATTATACCGAAATTTTCATTAAATGAAAAAATACGTAATACGTATAATAATAACATTATTATTATTATAGGTATTACGTATCTTTTATTTACTGAAAATTTTGGCAAAATTGATAGGTACGCGAACTCCTGTGTTCCAATAAACATCTTGACTTTAGCTGACCCATGCCAAGGGTTCAAGTAAGCTTCTCTGATTGAAGAGGGTTTGGCAACCATCTTTTTTATTTACCATGGCACTTTTGCTCGAGAGATCATCATAAAACTTTGATCAAAACCAAGAAGCAGATTTCAAAGCATTTATTCATTTTCAGTATATAATTATTAGAATCCCCCCTGGTACCCCTGATCCAGGGGCCATGAAATTGGCATTTCTGGAGGAAGCACCCTTGCTCATAATAACTATGTATGAAGTTATTTTATCTAATACCCAGGAGCAGAGAAGATTTTCAAAGAGTTATTGCATTTTTACAATATAATCAATAGAGCCCTGCCCTAACACCAGAACCCTGACCCAGGGGCTATGAAATTCACAATTTTGGAAGAAGCACCCTTGTTTATCATTACTAAGTAATTAGTTAGTTTGTTAAATGCCAAGGAGAAGAAGAGAAGATTTTCAAAGAAATAATGTACATTCACTATATACTCTATATAGCCCCACCCAAGCACCACAACTGGCCTGACCCTGGGACCATGAATTTCACAAATTGTGTCAAGGGCTCAGTGCTTAGTTACAGTCACGCCAACAGTTTGACTGTTTAATGTCCAGGAGTAAAGAAGAAGATATTTAAAGATTGCATTAATTTTAGTGGTTTTGGTCCCACTCCTCAGGCCCCAGGGAGCAGGGACCATTAAATTCACAATTTTTGTTCCTCTTCACCCATAGATGCTATGTGCCAAAATTGGTTGAACAGTTTCAGAGAAAAGCTGAAAATAATTAGATGTAAACGCACGATGGACAAAAACAGATTGCAAAGGGTTACCTGAATGACTCAGGTGACCTAAAAATCTTCTTAAGACATCAGGGCAACAAGTAGTCACATTGATATGAAAGCATGAAGAGTAAATTTCTATTCAGGTTTTACGAAATCTGCATGGCAATAGTAAGGGATCATAAATGAGATTCATATTTATAAAATAATGTACAATTATGTACTTCTGTGTAGGTCATTATGTGCTTATAAGGACCCATGTTGTTTGATAGCAGCATGCAGAGTTTGCAGGGTCGTTGTCATTTTATGAGCCTTAGATTCATCAATTGTTGCCAGTAGTTGCACCTTCAGTCATTGGAGTGTATGTCAACCAGAAAGTAGGTCACTGAAACCTACTTTTGGAATTCATGGCTCAGTATTTTAAATGTGTCCGATGATAATCGGTTTAGAATTTAGAATAACTTTGTCATTTGATGTATTTTGGGTCCTTGGAATGTATTGACTAAAAAAAGGTCACAATGACCTACTTTGGGAATATATTATATTAAAGACAATATCCAAATATTTCAAATAATAAGAGGCTTAGAATTATCAAACATCAGGATATGCATCTTGTGTCCTTGGAGTGTGGCAGCTAAAAATTAGGTCACTGTGGCCTACTTTTAGCATTCCTATAATTAAAAAATTCAGATACTACATGTAATTGTTTGAAATCATCAACTGTTTGAAATCAATTAACTTTTTCAATTGATGCATCTTGGGTCCTAATATTGTGTTGGTTAAAGGCAGGTCATGGTGACCTACTTTTAGGGATTGAAAGGCAATATATAAATATTTCAAAAAGAAAGAGGCTCAGAATCATCAAAATTTGTCAGTTTTAATGCAAGTTGAGATCTCAGAGTATGTGATTCAAAAAGTAGATTACCATGACCAATTTTATCAGAAAATCAATTTTAGGCCTTTGGGGCTCTTGTTTATTAAAATGAACGTAATTGCCAAGATAGAAATTGTGACTCGGTATGTCAGCATTGTGGCCCTTGGCCTTTGTTAAATTGGTATTGATGGCTGCATCTTCACAAAGTTAGGGGGCCTGAGTCCACTCATTGTCATTTAAAAAAGGAAATAGATAATATATATCTTACAATTTCTGAAAAATTTCTTTTGATGGGCAGATTGCAGTGACGTACATCTTTTAGTAAATTATAAATATTATCTTTAACCATTCAAATTAATCCTTTCGGTGATAAATACCGGGTATCCGATATTTAGTACATGCATGTCGTGGCAACTGTTTACTCTCTGTTTAAGTTTTTAACTTAAACTTATGAAGCAAAATTTTAAAAATCACTGTTTTACAAATTTGAAAATTTTAGAGGAAATTAAATAAAACTTGAAATGTTAAAAATTAAAATTTTTACGATTGTCTGTTCTCAGTTTATGGTCTTCAGACCTTATTCTTAAAGCCTCCGTAAAGAATGGAAGACAAACTCTCGCTCTGAGAAAAGACATTTATCAATTCTAAAAGGTTTATTTCATATTCAACACATTTAATTCTGTATTTCATTGTTTTAATATTTTTTAATTATTTATTCTTCACTCATGTTTTAAAGATATGTGCAAACCAAAAAAAAAAAAAAAAAAACAGATGTGTTTGTGAAATTGCAAATTACAATTGCTTTGTTGCCATACGGGGGCATCAGTGTTTCACAAACATGTAGATCAAACTTTTCTCAAATGCAAATTTAATATATTGGTACCAAAAGTAGGGTATTCTCCCTGGAAATCCAAATAATTGTGAAATATGAAAGTAGGCCAAGGTTAAGGTTTTTTCATAAGTACAGAAATCTTCAAGGTCAAGGTTATTGGTATCCAATGAAAGGTCTTGCCACAAAAAATACATATGTAAAGTATGGAAGCCCTAGCCCTAACCGTTCAGAAGTTATGGCCAAGGTTGAAAATTTTGAAAAGTAGGTCAAACTCCAAGGTCAAATGTCCTGCTATCAAATGAAAGCTCTTATCACAAGGATTAAAATATGTAAAGTATGAAAGCACTATCCCTAACCCTGTAAAAGTAATGGTCAAGGTTTGCGTTTGAAAAGTAGGTCAAACTACAAAGTCAAGGTCAAAGGGTCAAAGTTCTTGGTATCCAATGAAGGGTCTTCTCACAAGGATTACATAAGTGAAGTATGAGATCACTAGCCCTTAGCAAACTAAATTTATGGTCAAGGTTAAAGTTTTTCATACGTACAAAAATCTCCAAGGTCAAGATCAAAAGGTCAAGGTAATTGGTATCCAATAAAAGTCCTTGCCACATAGAATACATAGGTAAAGTATGGAAGCCCTAGCCCAAACTGTTCAGAAGTTATAACCAAGGTTAAAATTTTTTAAACGTAGGTCAAACTCCAAGGTCAAAGGGTCAAAAGGTCTTGCTATCAAATGAAAGGCCTTGTCACAAGGATTAAATATATAAAGTATAAAAGCACTAGCCCTAACCCTTTAAAATTTATGGTCAAGGTTTGCTTTTTAATTAAAAGTAGGTCAAGGTCAAAGGGTCAAAGTCTTGGTATCCAGTTAAGGGTTTTTTGTCCTGGGCTTTCGCGAAAGCGAGGGGACATTAAATCTCATTCGTCTGTCTGTCTGTCTGTCTGTTAGTTGTCACAAGAACTTTAACCTTGCCCATAACTTTTGATTTAGTGGAGCTATTACTTTCATATTTCACATATGTATTCCTTGTGACAAGACCTTTCTTTGGGTACCACCAAATTTGACCTTCTGACTTCAACCTTGGAGTTTGACCCACTTTTACGCAAAAATTCTAATTTTTACTTTGGCCGTAACTTTTGAACGGTAGAAACTAGGATTTTTATAGTTCAGATATGTATTTTTTGTGGCAAGATCTTTCTTTGGATATCAACAACTTTTACATTTTGACCTGGACCTTAGAGATTTCCGTACTTATGAAAAAAATTTAACCTTAGCCATTACTTTAAAACGGTAAGGGCTAGGGCTTTCATACTTCACATATATAATCCTTAATTGTGAGAAGTCGTTTCATTAGATAATAACAAGAACTTTGAACTTCTGACCTTGACCTTGGAAATTGGCCCATTTTTTAAAAACTTTAACCTTGGCCATAACTTTTGAAGGGTAAGGACTAGGGCTTTCATACTTCACATATTTAATTCTTGTGACAAGACCTTTCATTGGATATCAACAACTTTGACTTACTTTTTATAAACTTTAACCATAGCCATAACTTTTGAATGGTAAGGGCTAGGACTTTCAAACTTCATATAAATAATCCTTGTGAGAAGATCTTTCATTGGATACCAAGAACTACTTTAATCTTCTGACCTTGACCTTCGAGTTTGACCTAATTTAAAAAAAAAAAACCTTGACCATAACTTTTGAAGGGTCCGGGCTTTCATTCTTCACATATCAATTCCTTGTGTCAAGACCTTTCATTTAATATCAACAACTTTGACCATTTGACCTTGACCTTTGATTTCGACCTACTTCTGAAAAACTTTTACCTTGGCCATAACTTTTGAATGGTAAGGGCTAGGGCTTTCATACTTCACATAAGTAATCCTTGTGAGAAGATCTTTCATGGGATACCAAGAACTTTGACCCTTTTACCTTACGGTAATTTTGGAGTTTGACTACTTTTCAAAATTTGGGTACCAACATATTTAATTCGCATGTAAGAAAATTTTAATTTTCGCTTTGTTGCCATACGTGGTCATCAGTGATTCACAAACGCATCTTGTTCCTTTTAACTTTTGATTGAGAAGAGAATGGGCTTTCAAATTTGACATATGCATTACCTATGATAAAATATTTCTGAGCATGCTATGATTTCTGACTCCTTGACCTTGGCCTTCACGATTGACCTTATTTCTAAAAAAAATCAACTTTGGTGATAATTTCTAAATGACATATGATATGGCGTTCATATCTAACATCTCACCCACAAATACACCGAAAGCGGGGGACCTTAATTCTTTGAATTTGCTTGTTTTCACATGGATTATATATGTGAAGTATGATTGCTCTATCCCTTACCGTTCAAGAGTTATGGCCAAGTTTAAAGTTTTTCCACAAGTACGGAAATCTCCAAGGTTAAGGTTAAAATGTCAAGGTAGTTGGTATCAAATGAAAGGTCTTTCAACAAAGAATACATAAGTGAAGTATAAATGTCCTGGTATCTACTGTTCAAAAGATATGGCCAAAGTTAAAGTTTGGAATTTTTGTGTAAAAGTGGGCCAAACTCCAAAGTCAAGGTCAAAAGGTCATATTTGGTGGTACCCAAAGAAAGACCTTGTCACAAGGAATACACATGTGAAATATGAAAGTCATAGCTCCACTAAATCAAAAGTTATTGGCAGGGTTAAAGTTTTTGCGGACAAACAAACAGACAGAGAGACAGCTAGACAGACAGATTTTGTTTTTTGATGGCAGATAAAAGAAATTGAAATGTCCAAACTCCAAAACTCTGTTTCATGGGTGAACACTTGTCACGGACAGTTTACCTTGTCGGTGGAGGAGAGATTATTTATTTAATCATAGTCTAGAAAGTATGCTGTCTCGCCGTTCAGAAAAAATGTCAATATCGGCGTTCCATAGACGTAAGAGATAACTTGACCCCTTTGCATAGTTTTGTATAAATTAATTTCAAGATGGACATAAAGTTTATTCCAGCCGAAGATGTTAAGAAAGTGCTATGTTACAAAGATCTTATACCTCAGATGGAATCGGCGCTGAAGAAATTCTCCAGTAAATCCATTGAGCAACCAGTTAGATCGGTTGTCAAAGTGAAAGAAGTTAATGGGTAATTTTTTTTTTCTATGATTAAGCACGTCCAGGGGTAGTATAGTACCACTTGTGTGTTTTAATATTAAGGGTATTTTTAAACAGTGAATTTCTTTGATCTGGTAAAAGATCAACCAAAAAAAAAAAATACGATGAACCGAACTTGTAAATATTTTTAAAAATGATACCACCAACATATATTGACAGGTTCTCTGTTCTAAATATGGGGCACAGTTTCTGTGTTCTTAGGGTAATATTATATTTCTAGGCCTAATCCAGTAAGATTTGGCTATACATGTATCTGTTTTGCATAAAAAAATCATTGAGCGTAGCAAGTAACGGGGGGGGGGGCAAAGTAGCCCCCCTGTTGCTAGATAATATCAGCATGGAGGGCATGGTTTCTTTTCTCAAAGGGTAATATTATATTTTTGAATGTCTCTTATCCAATCAGATTTGACTGTTCTGCATAAAAATTTAATTTTGAAGACCCGTAGCAATGGGGGTGGGTACCTCAACCCTCCCCCCACAAAGAAACATAAATGTCCTGGAATTTGTGAGTCTTCCACCTTACAACAACAAGTGGGGGGTATCTAACGCCATCACTGCCTTATAGCACACAACTATGCATTTACGAGGGTTGTCCCATAAAATCGTGGACAAGTTGTCTAGTGTAAAAAATAAACATCACTGCGTTCTGAAATTTTCACTATTATTTAGTACATATTTTCGTAATATACACAGCAAATTTCAGGTAAATATATGCATAAATAATCAAATTATGAGATTTTATGCCATGTATTGTATCACCGTACGGCGCATGGATTATAACGTCAAAGTGTCTAAAACAGCGTCACCTTTTATCTTTGCTGAAAATGAAGTTGGATGAGTCCGACTTAAATTTAGGAATTTCTTTGATACACATTCTTCAGTTTCCATAAACAGCCGAAGAACCAATTGGCACCCTCGTGCGATCTTCTGAAGATTTATTAGTAAGTTACAGACAATATTCTCACCATCATTCAACTAATAGAAAATCTCATATCGGCGGTCTACTGTGACAGCGTCTTTTGCTATTACATTAGGAGTTTGTCCGTATGTTTTGTACTCCCCGGAGACTCGATCAAAAAAAACTTTGCTACGAAAACTCCTATTTCATTTGTATACTTAAGATATGGTGATATTTTTATAATCTTTTTTCTTCTATGGTCATTTCAAGTCTCTAAAGGTGTCATTACAACATCGAAATAAAACTGAACTGTTCTCCGGTGCGCCGTAACGTCATAAAACGTCGCCATTTTTCGTGCGTTGTGTTTACCACTTTCCCATTTCGAATGCTCGAGAAACTGCCAAAAATTAAGCAAATGCCTTAAAATTTCTACAAAAACTACAAAATTGATTGTGGAATTGAATTAGGATAATTTTAATCCAAATCTTATGTATTTAAAACTTTTATTTTGAATTCAAACTTGTGTATTATTTAATAAAACCTTGGTTTTTTGACCGTGCGCCGTAGGGCAATACCTCGTGCACATTCAAGCATAATAAAATCTTTATTTTTGCCTATATTTTATCAAAAAATTATCATGCACTTAAATATGATAAATAAACATTTACTGAAATTTTCAGCTTAGTGCGCCCATTAGTTTTCGAGAAAAACGCTTTGTCCACGATTTTATGGGACAACCCTCGTATTATGTCAATTTATCATTACGTGATGTGAACATATCTTTACGTTATGTCCATTTTTTATGAGATGTTGTAAATATATCTTAACATCATGTCAAAGCTGCATTACATGAAGTAAATACATCCTTTCATTATGTCAGCACTTCATAACTTGAAGTAAAAAATTCATTACGTGAAGTGATAATGTGTTTACATTGTGTTAAAACTTTATTGCATGAAATGAATTTTTCTTTATATCATTTTATTTCTTTAATATGTGAGGTCAAAATTGCATTACGTCAAGTAAATTGTGTCTTATAATTAAACTTATCATTACATGAAGTCAAAAGCCCATTCCTTTTTGAGAGTGTATATTTCTATTATATCAAAGCATTATTACGTGATATGGATTTATCTTTATTTTACGGCGAGGGCATCATGATGTGAGGTGAACACATCTTACCTTTATGTCAGTGGTTTATTACGTGGTGTAAAAAGTGTATAACATTTAATGTGAACATATCTTTATATTATATCAATACTTTATTACATTATGTCAAAACTCCATTCCGTGATGTGGATATATAATAACGTGATGTCAACTTTTTCTTATGTGATCTAAAAAATTAAAAATATCTTTATATTGTGTTAACTCTTTATCATGTTGATTCCAAAAGTTCATTACCTGATGTTAAAAAAAATTACATTATCTCAAAGCTGTATATCTAGTATATAATTAATGTTGACGACCGTGTTTTAATGACTGTTAAGAAGGGGGGGGGGGTCCTGATTGATTAGGACAAATTACAGGCACATACATGTAATATCAACCCCCTCTTTTCCCAGACATAACTTTACTATAGAAAATGTAATGTTCATTGAAACTGTACAGCCCCCCACCCCCACTTTTTGTTGAAGTATAATCCACTAAGGGTAATTTAATATATCTGGAAAAAAATAGGACTGATCGAAGTTGGACACCTCTCCCCGAAATAGGATTTTCGGGCTTGGACTTTTTTTTTCTTGGCTTGTCAAGTTTTTCAGGTAAATGATTTCTTTCTGGCTGACCTCCTCTTTCAAAAAAAGATGCTACGTCATTGGAGTTAGTAATTTTTTTAATCATTCCCAGGCCAGAATTCTATTACAAAAATCTACCAGTCGCTCATCTAAATCAATTGAATATGCCTTAGTAAGCATGCATGGGCACATATCAGTGGCAGATATGGGAATCTTGAACAAGGAAGGGGACGGTATATGGTTGGAGACCAAGGGCGGAAAGCGGAGAAGCTCTCAGGCTTTATAGTTTTATAGAAAAAAGTTTTCAACTTAATTCAGCTAAGCTTATTGTGAAATTAATGCAATGTCCTTCAAAGTTTAAGACTTTTATTGAAAAAAAAAATTCAAAATAAAAAGAAAAAAATGATTACTGCACGACTCATAATATTTGATTTATTTAATTATGAGATTAGAGTAAACACCATTGAATTTCGACGTGACTTTAATTCACAGTCGCAGTGTTAAAGCTTTGCACTTTTCAAGATTGTCAATCGTTTGTCGTAAAGTTTTCATTTAAAGATGTCATTCCCAAATTGCTGAGAATCTCTTCTACGACAGTTTTCTTTCCCGCCATTTTTAGTGCTTGCGGAATGCGGAAATACGTTATGCTCATATAAAGGCCGAGGATACCCGTGTTCGTATAACGTAATAGTGAATTGAAATAATGTAGAAGAGTGCGCACAGTATGGCATGAACTTTTCACATCAGTTAATAAAAACTAAGATCTCATGAAAAGTAAACATAACGAAATGCAAGTTGACGAAATATAATTGTAGTGTGGGTTAATGTCATAAAGAGTTGACATAATGCAATGGAAGGTTGACATAATGCAATAGAAGTGTGGGTTAATGTCATAAAGAGTTGACATAATGTAATGGAAGGTTGACACAATGCAATAGTATTGTGGGTTAATGTCATAAAGAGTTGACAGAATGTAATGGAAGGTTGACACAATGCAAAAGTAGTGTGAATAAATGTCATAAAGAGTTGACTTAATGTAATGAAAGATTGACACAATGCAATAATAAGTGGTGTGGGTTAATGTCATAAAGAGTTGACATAATGTAATGGAAGATTGACACAATGCAAAAGTAGTGTGAGTAAATGTCATAAAGAGTTGACATTATGTAATGGAAGATTTACAAAATGCAATAGCAGTGTGGGTTAATGTCATAAAGAGTTGACATAATGTAATGGAAGGTTGACGCAATGCAATTGTTGTGTGAGTAAATGTCATAATGAGTTGACATAATGTAATGGAAGGTTGACGCAATGCAATTGTTTTGATCTCTATAAGGCAGTGACGGCGTTCCATAAATACCCCCTGGGGGTAGGATGGGACCACTTGTAATAATTGATGATTCTTATATGTTGTGTAATTGTGTTTGTGCCAATAAATGTTTGTATTTGTATATATGTAAACTTTTCATCTATAAACTGCATGCTTTTCTCTAGCCCAAATAGTGACAAGGTGAATGATATGGCCAATGGGCCTTTAATTTGTCTTTAAGTGGAAAAAGGATCTGTAAAAATACTCTTATCTTCTACCGTTTATCCTAGCATTATATTTATAGATACATATACTAGTATTTGTATAAGTGCAATATGGAGGCTTATCCAAAAAAAATCCAGCATGAAATTTAGGTAAACTAAAATGTTTTCCATAATTATAAATATTCATACAAGTCATTTTTTACCAAATAATATAGCAATTTCATTTTGTTCAAATGAATGACAAAATGCAATTTATTCTTGGAATGACCTTGTAGGTTTTTGGGAGTGATGCCAGCTTATAGTCCAGATGATGAAGCTTTGGCTGTTAAATTGGTCACCTTTTTCCCACAGAATATTGGAGTACCAACTCATAATGCCATCATACCTGTGTTCAATGCAAAGACAGGAATTCCAGAAATAGTTAAGCGATAAGGAAGCTTCATGGACCTACTGTAAATGTGGCATCAATGATGAAGGAGGATGAAGTTTTTGTCATTAATTACTATTCAGAAAATATTCATAAATATTCATTTAAAAAGCAACTTCAATGTACATGTATAGAAAAATCTGTGTTATTTTCTTCATCTTTGCAAATTTTATCTTTTACAAAAAAAATAGATAATGGATGGTGAAGTGATTACTACAATGAGAACAGCTGCTGTCTCAGCAATAGCTACAAAGGTAATATGTTTTTCTAAAAAATAATCTGATTTATACATGTCTATCACATAAATATTGCAATTAACCTAAATGCTTGTCTCTCTGCTAGCTCTGTGCATTCTAGACAGTTTTAAAGAGCTGTTCTATTTCATATAGAACATTAATTTTAAATAAATTTTACTTTAATGCTTCAAAGGATTATTGAAGATATACACTAGATATGAAATGGCTGGCTTTGACATTGGCACAATTCGTTTTCTTTTTTTCTATATAGCTGATTTGTTTTTAGCTCACCTGAGCCGAAGGCTCAAGTGAGCTTTTCTGATCACATTTTGTCCGTCGTCCGTCCGTCTGTCCGTCTGTAAACTTTTCACATTTTCGACTTCTTCTCAAGAACCACTGGGCCAATTTTGACCAAACTTGGTACAAAGCATCCTTGGGTAAAGGGGAATTCAAATTTAAAAAATGAAGGGACATATCCCCTCGCAAGGGGAGATAATCAAGAAAAGACAAAAATAGGGTGGGGTCATTAAAAAATCTTCTTCTCAAGAACCACTGGGCCAGTAAAGCTGAAACTTATGTGGAAGCATCCTGGGGTAGTGTAGATTCTAAATTGTTCAAATCATGACCCCCAGGGGAAGGGCGGGGCCACAATGGGAAATCAAATTTTTATATAGAAATATATAGGAAAAATCTTTGAAAATCTTCTTCTCAAGAACCACTGGGCCAGAAAAGCTGAAACTTATGTGGAAGCATCCTGGTATAGTGTAGATTCTAAATTGTTCAAATCATGACCCCCGGGGGAAGGGTGGGGCCACAATGGGGAATCAAAGTTTTATATAGAAATATATAGGAAAAATCTTTGAAAATCTTCTTCTCAAGAACTAAAGGGCAAGAAAAGCTGAAACTTATGTGGAAGCATCCTGGTATAGTGTAGATTCTAAATTGTTCAAATCATGACCCCCAGGGGAAGGGCGGGGCCACAATGGGGTATCAAAGTTTTACATAGAAATATATAGGAAAAATCTTTGAAAACCTTCTTCTCAAGAACCACTGGTCCAGAAAATCAGAAACATATCTGGAAGCATCCTGGTATAATGTAGATTCTAAATTGTTCAAATAATGACACCCGGGGGAAGGGCGGGGCCACAATGGAGAATCAAAGTTTTATATAGAAATATATAGGAAAAATCTTTGAAAATTTTCTTCACAAGAACCACTGGGCCAGAAAATGTGAAGCTTATGTGGAAGCATTCTGGGGTAGTGTAAATTCTAAATTGTAGGAATCATGACCCCCGGGGGAAGGGCGGGGCCATTATAGGGAATCAAAGTTTTACATAGAAATATATAGGAAAAATCTTTGAAAATCTTCTTCTCAGGAACCACTGGTCCAAAAAAGCTGAAACATATGTGCCCATGGAAGGATCATGGGGTAGTGTAGATTTCAAAATGTCTAAATTATGATCAGTGGGGTAGGGTGGGGATGCATTATGTATAACAAGGGTGAAATCTGGTAAAGAACAGAATGGTCAAAGCTTCTCGGGTGAGCGATGTGGCCCATGGGCCTCTTGTTTAAAATTATTTTTACAGCACCTTTGTGCACCAAATCCGAAGGTTCTTGCTGTTTTAGGATCTGGAATTCAAGCTCGCTCTCACATTCAGGCTCTGTCCTCCATTTTTTCATTCCAAAAGGTTGGTTGAAACTTAAAAATTGGCAAAAAATTATGAGAATTTTTCTTTCCAAGACTGTGATTCAGTATTTCTTTGTATATAGATAAATATCTGGAGTAGAACCAAGAGGAATGCCGCAGCCCTGGCTGGGGAGGTGGGTGGAAATGCATGTGATTCTGCACAAGAAGCTGTCAGGGATGCAGACGTCATCATCACAGTAACATCATCAGCAACACCCATACTGAAGAAGGAATGGGTAAAACCGGGTGGACATATCAATGGCAATTATGTTTTTGACATTTCTCAGAGAAATTATTCTGTCAGTTAAAAAAGTAATCACATTTGGAAGGCTTTAAAGCTAAGAATGAACCTTAGAGGATTCACTATGTGTGCTTATTTTTGCATATTTGTAATGCAATTCAAACTTTCTTTATAGATCAAGAACTGTTTTAGCAATAAATAATTAATGCTATTACTTATTTCAATATCATATCTATAAATTCAAAAGTACTATTACATGTATTTGTACAAATATTTTTAAAGTACATGTACAGTGCACACATTAATTTATGCGGAAAATCCTTAATCACACATTATCCTAAATTTCCTTTTTACTTTTCAGCTCTGGGTGCCTGTCGCCCAGACTGGCAGGAAATTGACCCCGATCTGGTGAGGGCCAGTGTTCTCTATGTAGACAGTCGGGAGGCTGCTCAGAAGGAAAGCGGGGACGTTATTCTCTCAAAGGTCAATTTTCAATGATAAATGTTTCAAAATCATTCTATCTTTAATTCTTATTTACAGAACATTTCTTAATGATATTAATGATTGTGCTGTATCGTCATATTACCTGACAGACAAGAAAATACAGCTGTAGTGAAAAACTATTCTTGAAAAAATCCATATTTGGAAAATTTCTTCTAGCTTGTGGGTGCTTTTACATTTTAGGCAGATATTTTCAGTGAGCTTGGAGAAATGCTATTGGGATTGAAAGAAGCTAAAGTCAAGGAAACAACATTGTTTAAATCCCTGGGTTTGTTCTCTTTTTATCAATTTTCTTCCACTTAGCAATGCATAATGATTATTAATACACGAGCAACAGATTATAACCTAAATTCTTATTATTTATTATCAGGACTTGCCATTGAAGATGTAATGTCTGCCAAACTGGTACAGGATCTGCTGACCAAGAAATGAGGTGCCACAAAGCATGCAAAAGGACAAAAGAGATTCATAATATCTGTAGTGTTCACAAATTGTTTTGTATTTATATCTTCATCAATCAAAAAAATTTAACATTGAATATTCCAGACAGTCAGTTACTGTTATATTAATGATACTCAGAAAATGTAATGATTGTCGGGGGGGGGGGGGGGGGGGGGGGAGAGAATGTGTGTCTGCCCAAAATAGATGAAATGTATTTGTTTTAAAATATGCCATATTCATTGTTCAGTATTTTAATTTTTCTACTATGATTTACATTTTTGTAAAAGTCTTTCAATATTTACTGTTCCAATAAAAATATGGATCCCGGTGTCTCAGCATATACATACATTATTCTGTTTAAAAAACTGGAATGCAAGGAAACTTTAAAAAAAAAAAAATCATCTCACATCTAGTGTGTGTAGAGGCTGTTTCAAAGCAACAGGTGTGTTACCCAAATATGTCATTTTCCTCAAAACATGTTTATAGTATGTTTATCTTCTCGTATTCACCAAAACTACAATCATTAAACAAATATTTGTTTAACACTAAAATTTTTTTTCCCTTATAGATATACATTTTACTAAACTTCACCAGCAACTTTAATACCTCACAGATAAAATTAATGTCCTATTAACACCTTTTTATACATGGAAGTTTTTTGTGAAGAATGTAAAAAAATATTTAAAGTATATACATTTATGAAATGACACAAGCTCTGAAACCATTGAATCAGCAAAACTAGTCCCCCTTCTGGCAAATGTTATCTGGTTCCCATTAAAAAATGCTAAAAAGATCAACGAAGAATGGATATAAAATGCAAAACTTGTTTGATAACTCATAAGATTAAACTCACAAACCAAAAATCAGTTCAATATCTAGAAGTAAAAAAAATGCTGTAAAACCCTTAAAAATTGAAAAAAGGTAATTCCACCAAAAATTGCTGAAGCCGGTATGAAATACATGGTCTCTAACCCTTTATATGATACACTCACTTACAAATAAGCAGCTCATTAGCTGCAAGAATTCAGTGGAGAAAAGTTTGGAAAATCAAGTTGGGACAGAAAGACAGATGGAGAGAAAGGATGAAACCTATGGTGCCCTGTAGTTTCACCGGTGGTGGATTAATGAATACACTATAATAATAAGAAACAGTGGGTTGGATGCCATTATTTATGGCATTTTGAGTAAAATATGAACGCTCATTCATATGTCATTCAAAAGTAATCACCAAAGTTAAATTTTCTGAATATTAGGTCAAACACGTTGGTCAAGCGGTAAAAAATCAGCATGATGGGTAACATCTTGTCACAGGCAATATACCTGTGCTATATGAAAGCACTATCTTTTCTCTTCCCAATCAAAAGTTATAAATTTGAGAAGTATGTTTAACTTCAAGGTCAAAGGCACAGGGTGAAAAGCATAATATATTTAGAATTTATTAGATATTTATACATGTGTGATATTAGTACATTGTACTTCTAAATTTAGAACAGTTCTCAGTTAACCTTGGACTTACAGTAAGGTGTGGCATTCTCGACGTTACATAATTAGCGTCTGAAAAATACGTGTACAGGTTTCATTCACTGTTGAAATATACAATGGACAGAAATTCAGGCGAATGTCAGCGAGTGTAGAAAATATCCAATAAAATGTCTCGTACGGCAAAGAGGTGGGGCTTAAGTCGTCTCATCGTTGTCAACAAAAAATTGAAGTTCCTGATGTTATTAATTTTTTTATCCAATGAGAATCTATTCGCCATTTGACAGACGCTAACCACGTAGCTCCGAGAATGCCACGCTTTACTGAAAGGCCAGCGTCAACTGAGCATTGTACTAAAGCACTATCTTTTCTCTTTCAAAAGTAATGAACAATTTAAAGTAAACAATTTTGAAAAATAGGTCAAACTTCAAGGTCACGGAGTCAAAATTCACAGTACACGTACATGTGAAATATAAAAGCCCTATGTCTTTTCATTCAAAAGTTATGACCAAGGTTAAAGTTTTGGTGACAGACCGACAGAATGTCCTCTCGCTTTCGCGAAAGCGGGGGGCAAAATCTTTGACGGTCACAATACGATATTTACTACGTCATCTTCATGAATTCGCTACTGAACACTTGTTCCTTGAATTCTGTCACTCCTTTTAAACAGTTTTTGATCGACAGAAGGTTAAAATCAGATGCATTTATGAAAAAAGTAATAAATGCATTTACTGTCCTTTATTAAATTACATAATAAAAGAATATATGTAGCCTTAGGAGACTAGGTCTTCCAAGAAACAGAATTTCGATGGACTCTTATTGTGCTCCTTTATAAGTCTGATTTTTGTATTCCTATGTAGTGAATATTTGATATATCCCAGTGAACTTGAAATTAAAGAAACCACTGAGTCTGCCTAATTTGTTCAATATTTGTATGCATTGGCGTCGGAAGCAAATTGAAAGTGGGGGGGCTAAGTGAAAAAAAAATATACCTTCTCAAAAAAACCTAACAAGCAAAAAAAAAAAAAAAAAAAAAGGAAATGTCTATTTCCCAAACACAAAAATCCGGGGGGGGGGGGGGGGGGGGGGGGGTAGGTTCGAACTCCAGTACCAAAATTTTCTTCCAACACCACCACTTTCCCCATTGTTAACCTATACTAAGACGTATCTGTGCAAAGTGGGGGGCTAAACCTACGAAGATATGTTCAATGTCTATACTAAGTATATATTTGGAAAAAAAAGTGGGGGGCTAAGCCCCCCCCCCCTAGCCCCCCCCCCCCGGTTCCGACGCCTATGGTATGCTTCACTGACTATGGAAAAAAGGGCCAACTAACAACTAGATCATATTACAAACGAGATGACTTCAGCTTTTGTGATATCTCACCACACCTGGATATGGTCCCGTCGTATTGGATACTAATGAGCATGCTCTGAGAACGATCTCTTTTGAATTCAAGGCAGGCTACTGACATCGAATTGATATTGCAGGGATTTTAGCAATCTTGTTTAAAGTCATCAATTCGTAATATTTACGATCGTAATAATGACCTTATTATAGACTGTTAGGCTATATTACCTATCATTGATTCGTATTCTGGCTGTCTTGTTTCATACCAAATTACCAATTGTTAAGCCTTTAGTTTTATGCTGAATTTGACTACGGGGTGTTCCAACTACATGCTAAGTACATAAGGCTCATGGCACCGGGTGTTTACTCCTCCAAGGTACCTGATCCCATCTCTGGAGTTTCAGGGGTCCGCTTTTTATGCACCTTATGCATTTGTATTAGTAATAGTTTATTTTAGATCGATCACCGTTCGCTATCTTTACCACCTTCTTCAATCAATGTATTTTTATTTTGGTAAAATTACTGTATTGTACATATGTATACTTTTATTATAATTCAATATTACGTCAACGACTCATTTAATCATTAGAATTATTAGTAAATCATTGAATCAAATTAACGTTTAAGAAAATCCCCAAGTTGCATTTTTGATATTGTATCATAATGTGATGATTACAAAGTTAACCATACGAGGGCTGTTCAATAAATAATGTCCTCGGTGCTCGGAAAGAAACAAAAAACGGTTTTCAATGATTTAGTCTTAATTATTTAACTTAAATACACGTACTAGTATTCTCTTTTAGTTAAAATACACGTCCGTAACATTTTTATCCAATGTCTGATTGTTTTTAGAACTCAATTTTGAGAATAGCCCTTCGTATACTGGAGTATGACAAATCCTATGATTTCATGGACTTGTTTCTTCTTTCTGAAAAGTGTTTTTTTCAAGTTTGGAAAATGAAACATGTCAGAGGGTGAAAGATCTAGCGAATATTGTTGGTGTAACAAAATATTAACTTTCTGTTTATCCCCAAAACTCCCCTACTCTTCAGGGCGTGTGGATTTGGAAGCTGTCATGAAGACATTCAATGTTGTGGATTCCTGACTCTAGTTCTTTTCTTTCATAAACCTATCGATTTTTTGGCAAAATTTTGCTTTCTAGACTCCACCAGGAATTGAACTGCCTCCCTGAATACGAATTTGAACAACAAGACCACTAAATTATGTAAGACAAGCTTATTCAGAGAATTTGTGTCCCCCGCTTAAGGAGAAAGTAAAACATGCGCAGCTCGGGGGGAAGGAGGGGGGAGAGTTGGATCCCCCTCACTGAATTTGTAGAATTATTAAATGTATACATGCATGTATACTGAAGCAAATAAAATATACCATTATGGATATAAAGATTTAATTGCTTATTCTTTATTATGTGTATAGCTGCAGAACTGTAGCTCTCCGAAAAAATATATATTGATAGACCGGTCCATCAATAATTTTTTTTTCGGAGAGCTACAGATCTGCAGCTATTATGTGTACAGAAGATTCTTTTTATTTGGAATATTTATCACACTGTGATGATGATTTTATGAGTTTGTACAAGCCAGACCTCGTAAATTTTTCATTTCGCGTGCTGAATACTATTATTTAGTAAAAAAAAAAAAGTATTTCAAAATAAAAAAAAAATTTGTCCGTCCGGGACTTGAACTCAGGACCTCTCACACTGGAAGCGAGAAACATACCACTAGACCACTGACACGCTTTACATAAAGTGAAGCATATGCAGTATATATTCATGTTCGGTATTGTCAAAATTTTACACAATCCATGATGTTTGATTTATTTAGCCTTTTTTAAACAGTTCTAATAGATGTAATAAGAACATAAAGTCCGCCGAGAAGCTGTTTTATACGCAATAACTCTCCTCATGCCCCTGTGCTAAAAATAGCGACATGTAATACTATAAATACTAATAAACAAACGGGGCGGGGCACCTTGAGAGGGGTGAGAGAGGTCCAAGGGAGTTTTGGTATAAAATTACATTGAATAAGCTCAAAATCTTCTTGAAATATCGCCCGGAAATGATAGTGTTACACACAGACAGAATGTGTAAATTTACGACCTTGACCTTTGACCTTTTGACCTCAAAATCAATAGGGGTCTTTATTAGGCCACAGGGAGTTGTTATGAAAAATTTCATTGCAATAGCTCAAATGGTTCTAGAAATATCGTGCGGAAACGAAAGTATTATAACAGACAGAATTTGCTTATTTATGACCTTGTCACCTTGACCTCTGACCTTTTGACCTCAAAATCAATAGGGTTCTTTTTTTA